ATAGGCACCAGCACCACTCACAACCACGCTTTACATAGGTGTGAGGGAAAATGGATGGATGGATACAAATACTTTTTTTTTCCCAAATAAAAACAATCAGAATAAAGGTTCAGTCTCAGCTTGAAAATTAGATCAAATCTATCAGTTAAGTACAAAGAGTGAAATCTAGTATGCCATGGCCCTTTATAAAATAAACACTAATAAGTGCTCAAGGATATTTAAAGTTGTTAACATAAACATTCTAGTCATTCGTTCTCTTAGTAATATCCTGTCAATAACGAGACTATTCCCAGCAGTGGGGATTTTCTTTGTAATCCTTCACCAGATCTGTGAAAAGCAAACAAGAAAAAAAGCTAAAGCTCCACATGAATATTTACCATTGGGTAGATTATATTTGCTCTGCAACACCACACAGCACTGACCTTTAAGCTGTATATATATGAAAAGAAAGGAGCAGCAGTTAGAGAAAGGGTAAGTTTGATGAATAAATGATGCATTCTGGGTAAATCAACAGCATTTAATTCAACCCAAACAACCAACAACACATAGAGGGAACAGACTAATTTAGAATTGGTGATTTCCTAGTTGTGTTTCTCTCAGAAGAATAAAATAAAATAACAATCCACACCACAGATGATTTAGGTAATCTTTCTTTTATTTTAAAGAATATTTATTTTAAGTTTGCTCCATTACAAAAGCAGTTTTAAAATCCCGGATAAAGAAACCTTTCCTGGAATATTTCAAATGTACAGAATTATACAAATGTAAAGAGGTTGCAAGCTGATGCATTTGTCATTATTTTAGTTTAAGAGGAAAAAAAAATAATCAAGGCATTCAGTGGTAAATAAATGTTTACAAAGCTAAGCTGCAATGCCAACAAAAAAATATTACTAATCCAGGCATTTTACATTTATTGTACAACTCCTAGAAACAGCAGAGTGCTGATTAAAAATACGACGCAGACAAAAACCACGTTCAGGATGAGGATTTGATGAAAGCAACCTTCATTATAACTGAGAAGCAGCAGCAGGTTTAAAACATAAGCTACTGCTGAAAAAAACAGTTCCAATTGTAAATACCCAAGACATAAGAATCAAAAGTAGAGAAACTAGTTTTAACTATGCAAGTTACACATTTATATCCACATATTTATATATTTAAAATAAAATCACCTGCTTACTTGATCATGAGACAACAGCTACGTTCATTTGAGCAAACAGAACCTTAAACTAATTTGAAGAGACAGCTCTCATGGAGTGAAAAAAAAAAAACAAACAGATGAAATTACATTCAGAGGCTGCAGCACTTTGTAAGAATGAACTACAAAGATGTGGAGTTCAACCTTTAATTTCAGAAGCTTTTTAAAAACCCTCTCTAAATGCACAATGAAGTTCTGACACCTAAATCCTCAAGCACACACACTGAAAGAAAACAAACACACAAAGATTCGGTTTCCATAAATATCTCAAACAAAACTGCAGAACGAAGGCAGTGAGTTTTTGGGGAACGCAGTATGCGATTCATTTACAGTTGTGCAAAACACTTGTGAGAATCAAAAAATGAAAAGGATGCTGGTGAGGTGAAGAGCTGATTCTTTAGTAACGAACCGAACGGAGAAATACAGAATAAAGAGCTGGGATTTAAGCAAATAAATCTTAGAGGGAGCTGCTGTAAATGAGCTCCAAACTCACTTTCATCTATCATATACCCACAGTGAGAGCTAATCCTGCATGTTTGGCTATTTGTGCACATTCAGGAAGAGCCCAGTCCTCCCTGCCCACATACATCTGGTGTTTTCTGCTTTGTTTACCCTCGCCGGCACAGTCGGCTCCCTGCCTTTCTGTACCAGACACGTTCCCGGCTGCGCCGTGCAGTCATGCATCTCGCACATCGCTCTGACCGCCACCCCTAACACGGCCAATATAGCTGGCTCTTATGAAGGCTTGTGTTCTGTTTGCACGTTGTCTGAAGTGAAAGGATTGGTTTCATCCTGCCCGTGTGTGTTCTGTTATCAGGCTGAGAGGATAATCGCTGAAGACACTGACAGGAGGGCTGCACTGATTTTTCTTTTTCCTACATACCCAATTTTAATAAGGTTGTGTGAAATTAAACTCAAATCTATCCACAGCAAAGCTCTCTAAACACCCATATCCAGCTCAAAGCATTACATTCAGAGTAATATTGGAAATAAAATTGTGTGAAGGTAGTATTTTGTTGAACTATGAATTGTGAAATGCTGATAATCCATTTATTAAATACATAATAGGAGGGAAAACCAAAAGGGTTGTTGCCTCGCAAACAGCAGCCAACGTCTGACTGGGACTTGGGTTACATTTCGGTTACCTCTGCTTCTATAGGGTGCCGTCAGTCCAGCTAGACAAGTAATTAAAGGTCAGAATTGATCCTAAAGCAGAAAAAAAAATCCAGGAGTTCGGCTGATCAAACAGAAACAGAAATATCTGAATAGTGTAACTAAAGGTCTGCTGGGAGACGGGGGTTACAGCAAAGGCTGCGGATAATATGAGGCCTGCTGTTGCTGCTGCTGCTGCAGCTGAGCAGGAGCCTGGTGAGGGGGACCAGCGACAGGATAAGACACAGGAGGCATGCTAGCGTTGTGATAGGCTGACATATCCATGGCCACGCCCGCCTGGGCGGAGTAAGGAGCTGCAGGACCCTGGGTCATGTAGTGAGAGTTCATCCCAGTGCTGAAAAGAGAACATAGATCTACTGAAGTTTAATGTAATAAAAGCTGTACAGAAAAAGGAATGATGCATCGTTTTAAAATGTTTTTTTAAAATGAAAATCTGAATTTTTTTTTTTTTTTTAATCCTCCTTTGGCATGACTCCTCTGGAAATCCATGCAAAGGTTAAACAGAGCACCTAGCTTTTAATGGTTTGATAAATATTTTGGTCCATTTTCAAAATGTTGAAAACAACTGTGGAGTGAATTTAGTTCCATTATTGTTGCAAGCATCTTTCTCGGGCTTGAAGAGAATGCTATCTTTGAAGCGCAATTTCAAAAGAAAACCTTTCGCAAAACCCAATCTGAAAGAGAAATTTAAAAAAGAAATTTATAAAAAAGAAAGTAAAAAAAAGACATTTAAAATAATTAGAAATAATTATAAAAATAATGATTATTTTTTCAAATGTTCATTTTTTTTATTGTATTTTTTTCCGTATTTTGATTTAATTTCTAAATGTGTTGTTTCAATTTTTACTTACACATCACATTAAAAAAAAGGCAGCTCTAACAGCGAGGTTCCACTGAACGCATAAGCCCCCAACCCAAAATGTACCATTTTATACGACACGACTCATCGGTTTTATAAAGAGAAAAACAGTAAGTAAAAGGCACGGGCTGAAAGGTAAGGTGACCAGATGAAGAGTAGCCATGCAAGACACCTGTTGTTGTGGCCAAATAGCCACTTTATTGTTCACTTTAACGTTGTAGGGAAATCATATTTAAATGTAAAATCATTCTGGTTTAAAAATTTATATAAATGTACTCTTTATAAGACGATATTGTCCCAAAATTTTGAAAATTTCTGTTTTAAAAAAAAAAAGTCCCGTCTTAAAATCTGTGGCTTTTTTCTGTTATCTTATGCAGACCGGTTAGTTATACGTCAGCCTGTACACCTAAATTCATCCAATCATATATCGACAGTCATCTGTCAATCAAATTTTTTTAATCATAGCATCTTTATTCATTTGTCGCAGCTAATATTCGCAACGGTTGAAATAAGAATCATTTACCATTGAGTTCCATCCCAGTGTTCACGGGGATGGACGTCAGTGTCATCGGCAGGTGTAAAGCTAACAGAACTGGCAGCGTTGTGAGGCAAGGGCTCAAACATGTACGGCTGTAAGCCTTCTACACTAAACCAAGCTTCTGCCGCCCTGGCGTCCTCTTCTACATCATCTTCGTCCTCGCTTTCCTCCTCTAAATAAAAACTGTATGACGGAGGAGACTCATATACGACCTCCGACACAAAACTCTCCTCCTCTTGCATGTTTCCTCTGTCCATAGCGTTCCTTGACAGTGTCGTTTCTAAGTCACCAATTTAGTGCTACTTGGTCCCAATGGAATATCCCATTGGGAACCTACTAGCACTAAGTTGCTAACTGGTTAGCAAGATGCTTTCGACAAACCGGCCACAAGCAAGCTTGCTTGGGAACCTTCCCCAAAACAATCCCGCCCTATTGATAAACGACGAATCACATTCACTTTATTCACTCGTGTAAAGTCGTGCACCACTCGGGAGAATTCGGAAATGCAACGGTTGGACCGGCCGCTTCCCTGCGACTTTAAAGCTCACATGTATAATACTATCGCACTATGATGCTCTGAAACGGTAGAAGTGTGTGCTTGGCAGAACCTGTGGTATCTACGTTCTGCGGCGCTTAATGGTTCAGTGGAAGCTCGTGGTGATGAAACCCCCTTGAAGTCTTTGGATGTTACGTGACAAAATGTGAAACAATTTAAGGGGCAAAATATTACTTTGCAAGGTGCCTTGCTTTTATTAGACTACACTGATGACCTCTATTCTGTCCTGTGGCTAATCGCTTACCTCATGTAGGGAGGCTGAGAGGCCTGGCTGCAGGGGGGTGCTGTGACCGTCGGGGGCATTGAGTGTAGTGGTCCAGGCTGGTCGTTGGGCAGAGCGTAACCATGGGGAAGAGGAACCTGGGGGACACCTGGAGGCAGGTAGGGGACGCCAGCTGGTCCAAGGTAACCCTAAGAAAATAGGAAGCTTAAAATATTATTCCTTAAAACCATATTTATTATTAAATCTATTAAAAATGGATGGTTACATTTTTATTCAACAATCAAGAGCTAAACTGACATGAAAAAACACAAAATTGAAATCAGAAATTAATTAATTAATTAATTAATTTTGACATCCAGGAATAAGCTAGAAATGGAGAGCTTTAAAACTACTAAATACTTTTTTAAACTCCAATATTTTCCAAAGATTAAAACACTAATTAAAGCTCCTATAAAGGTTCCTGCTAAACATGTTTTTTCTAAAATCAGCTCCTTACACAATAATACCCCAACAAGGTCAAATCCAGCACAGAGGGGCACTCAAGTGTAGACCTAAGTGGTGACATTGATAGACTATAAAAGCTGCAGGGAGAGTCAGCAGCATCAATCATCACTAAGGAAAAAAAGTGCAAAACTGCTACAGCTCCTCAAAGGGGAGAAGAAATGCTGATTTCAAGACCCAGAAAAGAAACTGAGGAAGAAAACAGGAGAAATATCCAGAGAGGGTAAAAAATGAACCTGAATGTAACGCAGTCGCAGGCTTTTTCCTCAACACTTTCTCCTTTACTTCCATTTAAAATGTTATCCAAAAAAAAAAAAAAATTGCCTATTAAGGGATGTTATTTAATCATGCAGTTAGAGGAAAGCTTTGGTTAGACACTTTACAAACAAAGAAAATCTTATATGAATCCAGGATCTTTACACTTCAGCTTTCTGCACTGTAAAATGGCTCAAATGTTAAATTATGTAACACTCAGCTTCCAATTGATTCTGAACATGTGACCTGAGGAAAACAGGAATCTATACTTTAATCAATTCTCAGAAAACCCTCAACTTTATTGAAAAAATAAATAAATAAATAAAAAAAGATAACGAAAGAGCAAGAACTCCTGTAGGGAAACCAGGATCTTGGCCATCTTATCTAACAGTGGGGCGACAGTGGCATCGGATGAAGGAGTTTGCCCTGCAACTGGAGGGTTGTTGGTTCAAGCCCCATCTCTGGCTTTCAGTGTAGTTGTGTCCTTGGGCAGGACACTTCCCCTTCACTACCTAATGATGGTGGAACGAGTGTATGGTCGCTTTGCATCTGTCAGTGAGCCCCAGGGCAGCTGTGGCTACAATGTAGTAGCCATCATCTGTGTGTGAGTGAATGGGTGAATGACTGAATGGGTAAAGCTCTCTAGGGAAGTCTTCTGAATTGAAAAAGTGCGATATAAGTACAACTGTACTTATATCGCACTGTAACAACTGTTTCCCTTGAAGTTTCCCCTTTTTCCTATGAACCATTTTGGTAATTACAACAAACCCTCTTTGCTCCTTCAGTACAAACCAAACTATACAATGAGTTAGTTATTAATGGATAGTGCTCTATCTTAAGCATTAAAGGTGGCAGAGTGTCTTTAATTAAATAGTGACCATATTATAATAATCTAGCATTTATCAGACTTAATTTAACTAGTACTCTATCCCTGCATTTTGTGTCTAAGTTTAACCTCTTAATATCCACCTCATTTTGGGAAATGCTCGCCTATTTTGCATACCCAAATGGATAGGGCAAATAACTGAGGAACTGTAAGCCCAAATCACATGTGTGATACATTATTTGAAAGCTAACACTTTCTAGTTTCTGAATATAAAATGAGAATTGGGTGAGTAAAAAACCCAAGCTGCATCAGTTCAAAAAAGACTCAAAATTGTTTTTTTTTATTCTTGAAAATAATAGATCTTTTTTGAACAGCAGTTATAAAGACATGCTTGCTTGTTGTGGCTGCTTTGTCATGGTACATTTTGACATGCTGCTATATGTGTTAATTGTGCTTTGCTCGCTGTGTCCATAAAATGAACTAGATGGTTGAAATGTGGGAAATCTAAGCTTGTCAACAATATCTAACATGTCTTTATTGGTAAACATTTTACCAGTGTAATTTTCATGCATTCTGACTTATTATTTGAAAATGCTTTAAAACAGGTTCTGAGAGGTTAACAACAAATTAATATTTTCCTTTTTTTAAAATGCTCTATTATTTATTGACCTACTACCATATGCCACATGTTTACAATGGATTCATGCATTATATCTATATTTTGCTAAATGAAAATAGTGAAGGTCTGTTTGGATGCAATATTTGGTAGACTGTTACATTTTAAAGCTTAATCTGCATAGTCCGCCATGAGACTGGAGCATAACTGGATGCATATCTATTTTGAATGAGATGCTGAAGCTCAGGCTAAATGATAGTGATGTTATATAGGGGTTAAAGAAACAAGACTGATAAAGCCTAATGCTTCAGGCAGGGCAGCTGTGTTCTGTTCTGACCTGCATGGGCACTGAAGAGGGGGCCGGGCCGTACTGTGCCTGCATCTTAGAGTACGCGGCGTAGTAAGGAGCTTCGTTCATGAGCTTATTGTAAAGCTCCAACGCCTCCATAACTTTCAGATTCAACTCCGACAACTCCGAGTGATTCCTGTAAGACAGAAAGGGAAGGTTACGCAACGGCGTTCGGAATTAGCTCTGGCTTTTACATATGGTGAAAACCGACAAGACAACACCTGTCAATCTCTTGAAGCTTCTCATCAATCAGCGGGTTCATCTGTTCGCAGGCGCCTGCTCGGTCGGGAAACAAAGGAAAAGTTAATGGTTGATTAAGGCTGACTACAGCTGTCGCAGCGTGTCTAGATATACAGCTGCATCTAAGTCTATACCTTCCAGCTGGATTAGCTCTGTGGAGTCAGGAGTCGCATCTGCGGGATCTGCATTCTGTAAGAGCGCCAGTGTTCTGTCCATCTTCACCTACAGATGGATAACAGTAGATTTTTATAGGTGGTTTAGTTTGGAGGTGACTTGTGTTCATATAACTTTATTTATAAAAAAGTGTGTTACCTCATCTATGTAGACAGGTTCGGGCTCAGCTTTAGTTTCCAGACTGGTCTCTTCAGGCGTGGCTGACTTCTCAATTATGGCCACTGTGATGGGAAGGAGAATCATTAGAAACAATACAGTTAATCAGGGGGCTGGGCAGAGAAACCAGTAAAAGCAAAGCATCAGAGAAATAAAAACTACACACAGACCTGGCTCTGGGTCAGCGTTCAGGTCAGTTGTGACAAAATTTGAGGGGAAAAGTCCAACTCCTCTGTGGTTTTCTCCTTTCCACCAGTTTGGATCACTGTAGCCCACAAAAAAAGAAAATATAGCTGATTTAAACTCCCCTGAACTCATGGACACTGAAAATTTAGGCAAACATACAATCAATCTCAACCACCAGGAGAAGAATTACAGCCACAGGAGAGGAAATTAGATTAGGCATAAATCTAAATGAGAATAAACTTTAATCTATGATTAAAACATCACCTGAAATATGAGACATTATTTTATTAAAACATAACAGCCTCTGGAGGAAAATTGCTACGGAAACCTGAACCAGTTTGCTTCTATATTCTCATTTCTAGCCAATAAAAAGCAAAAAGCTGAGATGTATTAGAAATGGATAAAGTGGTGGATAAAATTATGAAAATGTTCAGATAAGATTTTCTTTCCCTCCATATACTGAACACATTTTAAGATTTTAAAGATTACATAAGGATCTTGAAAACTTTTACTATCCCATCATTTAGAAATCATCATTTTCAGTATTAAGTCAGAGTTTCAGGTGAACATTTAAAAAGGAACCTGATTTTATTTAAAATGTTTAGACATGTTCAGTGAAGCAATAGGAGAGTGTAAGGATCTCAGCAGATAACAGGAAGGCTAAGCATATTGCAGTCAAGCTCTTCTGCTTCATTCTTTTGGGTTTCCGACCTCAGATTCGACGTGGAAACAGCTGAGCCCTTTGGAAAATCTCAAAAGTTAAGATGGGGATCAGCATTCTCCAGGAAAAACTGTTAAAGGTGGTTTAAAATGTAAACTCCTTGTTCATTTTGGCTTAGCTTTAAAAACATTCATAAAACATATAAATAAAACTCAGCTTCCAATTTAATTGTTTAATAAGCAAACATGGTAGAAAACCTTCAAAGAAATATTCTCAAAGTT